TCGGATCATTTGTATGTGTACAAATATTCAAGACCATCATCTCGTAACTTTGAACAATCAATAACTGATACAAGTATATGCAATAATCCTTATATATTTACATAACTCGTCGTTTAAATAAAACTTCTATAAATTTCTTTACTTACTTACATACGCCTGTTACTCTCAGTCGAGAATAGGCCACCGACTAACAATCTCCAACCCACTCACTCTGTCCTGAACCTTCCTTTCTAGTTCTATCCAATTGTTGTTCATTTTTCTCATATTTGTCTCCATTTCTCGGCGTAATGTGTTCTTCTTTGATCTTCCTTGTCTTCTTTGGCCTTGAAGAATCCAAGTGATGAGAGCTTTTCTTGTGACACAGTTCGATGTTTTCCTTAAATTATGTGTCCTATCTACATTCAACGCTTCTTCCTGATTTTGTTCCTCCTCTGGAATCTAGTTTGTTCTCTTCCACAGTATATAATTTGAACTTTTTCCAAATACCTACATGAAATACATTGAATAATAATAACTGTTTTTTTAAACTACGAACAATTTAAATGGCTCCCGTTTCCCTCCCACTCCCCCACCGGGTGGGTGAACAATTTACATTGGTGCCATGGAGACTATACTAATTGATATAAATCTTTTAATCAATTAATTTAATATGTAAAATATGTTAATTTTATAACCAGATCATACACAGTATACAGTATGTTAAAAGTCTTCATTCATCTAATCGACCATCAGAAGAATTGAATATTAAGATATAAATCTATCGGTCTAACAAAGTTTTCCGACAACTTTATTATGACAAGAAATAAGTGTAGTGTATGCTACTTATATGGATAGATATAAGTAGTATAATGACAGAATTAAAGGAATAATAAAGTATATAAAGGATAATGGATGCTAAGAAGATGTGTAAATGATGTATATGATGTACAATTTTTTATATTTTCTTAAGTAACTATGTGATTTTGCTGAGTGATACGGGATCGAATTCGTTAGGGAGCGTCAGCTCCTTCAAGATTACAGGTACACCTTACTGGCAAGTGCCAAATAGCACGAAACTTATGTAAAGGGTTTCCTGTTGGCTAACTTCAATCATAGTCTTATCTCAACATAGTGAAAGCAATGTCAAGTCACCTAGCCCAAAAGTCGCATTGCAACTTGATTGATAGTATTCGATTTGTACTAAGAACGACCTGACACATAAAACATTGATCACCACCCAGTGATCAATCGATTGTATATATGATTTTGCGCTAATCGTCATTAATAAGTAATAACAATCTTAGTGCCCAAGACCTTCGATCTTGTAAAAGACCGATTAACCTCTGGACCATTAAACAGGCATCCGACAGTGTTAATGCCTAAATTCAATCGGTCCATGATCTTATGCAACCTTTCATGCGTTGACTAGCTCAAAGATGAATTTCTTGGAGTTCTCATGAAAAGCCTTGATCAGTGGTGTCCACTTTGTGTTGGGTGTGAGACAGGTATTCATATCAGATGAAGGATGAAAGGTTACGCAAGATCGATGATCGATGGGGGTTAGATATTAACACCATTGGATACCAGTGGTCTAGAGTTGAAGCGTTTGTACAAGACCGAATGTTCTGGGTTTGAGTCCTTTTGTTGCGGGATTGGAAGTGCTAAAGAATTTCATGCTAGGACAAAACTGTCATCCAGTGCTTTCAGGTTTTTCATGTAGGTTTAGTTTTAATTGACTCATGAATTCCATTATATCTACGATCTGAACGAATTGTGTTGTACTTCTGCTAGATGATCAATTATTTTATAATTCTCTTGATAAGATATTCTTTTTCATTGATTTTCATTATACTACTGAAACACATCGTTATGATTGGCAGAACATTGCACATTGTTCTTAATCATACTGAGTTTATTCAGGCTTGTTTTCAATGGAAGAGATGTATATTATCCTCAGTTAACTAGCGTTTGTCAAATCATTTAGTATGAATGGAATATTTTCACAATGGGGTATGGTATTCTGAAGGATCATTTAGGAACAGTGATTTTATTTATTTATTTATTTGAACGCAAATATTGATACAAAGGGACACCGAATATATATGCGCCATACAAGTCACTTGATTTATGTGTGGACTGTGATACTGTCTCGGTGCCCAGACTGAAACAGGTGGTATCCGTAGGAGGGTCACACCCGGAGCCTTCAACCTAATCTAATCTGTAAGGCAGTGGAGCAACGTAAAGAGATGCGGTTTCTCGGTGGACAATAATTTGTTCATGCTCCATTTGTTCCTTCAGGATCCTGGAGCCCATGTGCACCATTGATTTGGAGATAGGGCTTTCCAACTTCCCTAGGTGGACCTTCAGCGTCCATCAACCTAGTTAAAGTGCCGTGCATTCGCTTTTCGTCCTTTCAGTTTCATAAACAACAATGATGCCACAAGAAGGCAGTAAGTCGGACTTCCCTGACAGTTGTTGTATACGCGTGGCTACGTAAGATCATTTGGAGATGAGCTAACTCTCCCTACCCTCGACCGTACCAGGGCATTCGGGGACTAGGAGTTTTTTGAATGAAAACTTCCAACTAATAGGAATACAAATATGAAACTGATGAAGATTTTAGTAAACTTGATTATATTTTAGTACTGATTGTTTTTTTTTCGGTGTCCTTATTCACTACTGTCATCATGATTAGTCAACGTTTTACATCAGAACTTTATCGAATTAAACTCAAATTACCTTTCCAATGGTTTTTTTGAAGGAATCGTTTATTATTTCACTTGATTTATAATGATAAATTAACATCAAAAGTAACATCAAACTATTCATTCGTAAGCTACTAGTATTTGATCACAGATGCTTTAGAAATATTGCTCGCATCTGCTGGGATCGTTAGGTAAGTAATAGTGAGGTTCGACGCAGAGTATCAGGGAATGATGGTGAATCAGTCGATGAAGTTGTAAATCTTCATCGACTGAGATGATTAGGTCATGTGTTACATATGCCTGAACACCGATTACCATGATGCGCAATGCTAACTTGTGTTGGGGTTGGTTGGAAAAAAGTTAGGGGTGGCCATTGAAGTCACTAACGTCTAGTCTGAGCCATGGTGGTAGATGCAGACTACTTGATTGGGGTTGGTGTGAGTGTAGTAACTAATGGTCGGAGACTCCGTGTGACATGGCTCAGGATCGATCATGATGTTGTCGGTGTATACACTCTCTGTCTTTCCTTAAACCAAGAGATTAAAATCGCTTCATATCTTTCTTTCTACCAACTAGTTCTTTCTTCCTGCACTATGTCCTTATATGCATTCTTCTTTGTTTGATATTTTACTATCATTGAATTAACTACTTCTATGAATTCGGTGTTCATCTTTTTGTGCAAATGAGGTATAGTAACTTGGACCGATGCTTATATGTGCCTGGTCCTACATTGTAGCTGGCTGACTCACTGACTTACTGTTAGAATTGATAGTTTATGTTCAACTACTCCATAGATATTATAATTTATAAGCTGAGGTTAGATTCTCCAGCATCAATCTATGGAGGTTAACAGTGTTTAATAGAATTCTGAATACACTAAGTTAAATTGTCATAATAAAGAATGAGGTCAAACATTAATCAGTAAAGTTTACGTCTATAGGCAACCCACCAGCATTCCACATCCAACTCTGTCGTAGAAAATTCTTACCAGTTATTGCCAGTTGATATTCATCCTTTTCAAATCCGCTTTCAATTCTCGACGCAGTGTATTCTTCGGCCTTCCTCTTTTCTGTTTCTCTTCATGATTCCAAGTAAGCAATTGCCTCATGATGCAATCCGATAATTTCCGTAATGTATGTCCTATCGACTTCCAACGTATTTTTCTGATTTCCTCTTCATCTGGACGCTGATTCATTCTCTCTCACAAGTGTCCGTTGCTGAATGTATCCCAACAATGGATATTGAGTATCTTGTGTAGACAATTCTCCATAAATACTTGTAAATTTTTGATGATGTTTGTGGTAGTTCTCCAAGTTTCAACTCCGTTCAGTAGAACAGTGTTGACGTTCGTATTGAAGATTGTGACTTTGATATTAGTTGACAGTTGTTTCGAGTAGGAATACTGTTCGTGCTTTGACAATTATCACCTTTACTTCTGCATCGAGTCAACTTTGTTCATTGATGATACTTCCAGGTACGTGAAGGATTCCAGATATTCCAGAGATTCTTCATCAAATGTGAGTGGATTGACGTTCTTCGTGTTGCATTTGATGATCTTGGTTTTGCCCTTGTGTTTGTTTAGGCCAACTGCTACAGAGGCTGCTGTTACACTAGTTACCTTCATCTGCATTTGTTCATGTGAATGTGATAGAATAGCTAGGTCGTGTGTGAAATGTACACAATCTAGTTTTATGCACGCTGTCCTTTGAATTTCATGCCCCTACTCAGATATTGAGGTCTTCTTAATCCAGTTCACTACCAGAAGAAAAGAAGAATGAGGAGAGTAGACAACCGTGTCTAATTGATTTTAAGCTGTTCATTGTAATCCTTGCTTCTACTCAGATCATTAATCAGTATTAGGACGAATGAATGATCTCTCATACCAAATAAATCACTAACTCATGAAACATTAATTACCTGATATTATGGTATATGCTACTTATATCTGTCGACAGACGTAAGTAGTATGTAGCAATGATCACAAGTGGGTAGCCTATCGAAAGAAAGTTAAGAAGAATGGACTAAATAGAAGAGAAAGGGAAATATAAAGAAATTAAGAATTGGAAGAATCATGAAAGATGTAAAAGACAACCGATGGATGATGTACAAATGAGGTATTTCATATATGGTTTTTATAATTTATTGAAGACACTCTGTAATTCTGGTTATCCCCATTTGAAGGTTCGTTCATTACAATAGAACCTCATCAAGTACTGATGAACAGTATTTCAAAGTCAATATATACAATATAACATATACACTTTGCCAATTCATTCTATTAAAATATCTTTTCTATTTGTATCTTATTCTCATTAGGTTGTTGGATTGTAACTGGTGGTTTTCATTTAGGAGTAATGAAGTTAACTGGTGAAGCTGTACGTGATTACACCGATGCATATGGTGGAAATCGAATGATGGCATTTGGTGTAGCAAGTTGGGATTGTGTAACAAAAAATGAAATACTTGAAGCAGCTTTACATGAGGTAAATTAATTCAATGAATGTTCTTTCAGTTCTCATTGTATTTTCATGATTATTTATCATTGTATACACTTCTTCTGGATATTGATAGACGTTATCTATCTAACGACAGGACATTTAGAATAGACGCCAGTTTGAGTATTGTTATTGTTCATGTATCACAGTAATGTGAGAGAGTCAACATGAAGATGAGTGTATAATGTCAGTGACCATCAATATCAACCGTGTTAAGAGGTAAAAACTTACTAATAGAAGTCTATCTCAGGATTCTTATCAGTCGTTATCGTTCTTAAATGACATGACTATGTATTGGTTACGCGGGTTTTACGTGTATTCATCAGATGGTTTGACTAACTTTGCTATAAATCTTAATAATACTTCATCTGTCTGATTCTACAGTCTCTTTGATCTATATTCACTGTTTTGTTATTGTTATGGAAGGTAATATGATTCTTATTTTCAGAGTCTCTTCTCTATGTATTGAAACAAATCATGAGAACATAAATCAAAGTATATTTGTATCACAGATCCTTTGTTGTTCATATCTGGCTAGCCCCCGAATGCCCTAGTACAGCCGAGAGTGGTGAGAGTAAGCTCTCCCTCATGAGATGCTCACCACTGTTAGGAAAGTTCTACTCACTACCTTCTCGCGACATTATTGTTGTTTACAAAAAGTGAGAGGACAAAAAGCGGATGTCCAGCAGTTTAAACGGGTTGGTGGATATGGAGGATCTACCAAACGAAGATGGGAAACCCTGATTCCAAATCAATGGTGAACATGGGCTCTAGTATCCTGAGATAACATATGGTGTATGAATCAATCGTTTGCCACCGGCTACCATGGGACAGCATCTCCTTATGTTGTTCCACTGTCTTGTGGATTAGACTGTGAACTGTGGATTAGGTTGAAGGATCGGTGTGTGGCCCCCTAAGGATACCACCTGTTTCGATATGGGCACTAAAACAGTATCTTAGCCCTCACACAAACTGAATGATTTATGTGGTGCATATCTATTTGGTGTCTTCCTTTGCCTAAGTTTATGTGTTTAAATAAATTACTAATATTACTGACTATATCTATGGTACAATATAGAATTCTCAGTATAAACTATCTCAATAAGTTTCCTTTCCTTATTTCTTCATTGACCCTAATGAAAAATATTGAAATATTGTAGTGATACTGAACAATTTTCTTGTAAATCATTTACTCAGGATTCATGAATTGTAATTACTCTACATGCTTAGACGTTGAAGGAATTGAAGATAGTCCATCTTGTAGTTGTCGGTTACTATGTTAAGCCCACGTAGCATATTCTGGTCCCCGTACAAGCCAAGTTATTCATACTTCTTAAATCACATTTTGACATTGTTAATCATTCGCCTATCAACCTTGACTATTTTTGTATGAGCGTATGTGTATAAATTGATTTTACTACATTACATGTCTGTAACTTAATTTTGTCCGTTTATAAATATCGACTAAACTTGATTAAATGGAGTTGGGTTATAAGTCTTCTTCATTGCGCGTCATTACGCTTCGCTCTTTTCTATTCGGTTCCTTCGCTTCATCCTTCTGATTATCTGTTCAGATCAATGAGTGTACAAAATATACTTATTCAAAACTTCATTCTTGTATTTGACTGATTTCAATTCCGCTACTCACTAGCGCGGATTAAGTTGGTAATTATATACAAAGATTGGCAACATATCTAAGCATTATCATTGATGAACACGGTGGATCTGGTGCAGATGGAAAGGAGCGGGTCGGCAAAGCAAGAGCAGCATATTTATAACTGAAGAACATCTGGAACTAAAAACAACTATCAACTAACACTAAAGTAAGGATTTTTAATACTAGTATCAAGACATTTCTAGTGTAAGGGGCGGAAACTTAGAGAACTACAAAAGCCATCATCCAGACGATACAAGTGTTTATTAACAGTTGTCTACGCACAATACTTCGGATCCGTTGGCCAGATACACTCAGCAGCAACCTACTGTGGGATAGAGCAAACCAGATTCCAGAGGTGGAAAAATCAGAAAGAAGCACTGGAAATAGATAGGACACATATTAAGGAAATCACTCACGTGTGTCACAAGGCAATCTCTCACTTGGAATACTCAAGTTCACAGAAGAGGAAGATCAATGTAGAACACATTACACCGAGAAATGCAGACAGATATGAGAAAAATGAACAACTGCTGGATAGATCTATGAAGGAAGGTTCAGGACAGAGTGAGTTGGTTGGAAAATGCTCCATTGTGGGTAGCAGGCGTAAGTAAGTTAGTAACAGCCAACATGAATATTTCCGTAACAATCATTGTCAGTTACATGTAACTAGTTCACCAGTCCACATCTGAATCATGTTCTATGGTTGCAATGCATATTGAATGCTGGCCACCACGATGTCTTCGATGATGACTGTACTTTATTGTAAGTTGTACAGTAAAAAGTGATGAACATTTGATAAACACGCTTGAATAAAATAGACGAATAATAGACAGAATGATGTGTTTAAACAAACAAACAAAAAGAGATAACTTGTTAATATATCTAAATCACAATGGGTTTTGTGGAGATTTTTTAGAAATTTCACTAGTTGAAATCATGAGTCAATTGAAGCTAGACTATCATGGAAAACCTGGAAGCACTGGACAGACGTTTCGTCCTAGTACGGGACTCCACGATCCTGCCTCTTGAGAGATTCGCTCGCGCGCGCGCGAGACTAATAGGTCCTGGGTTCGAATCTCGCGGGGGGGGGGCTGGATCGTGGATACACACTGCTGAGGAGTCCCATACTAAGACAAAACAGCCGTCCACTGTTTCCAGGTTTTCCATGGTAGTCTAGCTTCAGTTGGCTCATGATTTCAACTAATGGAATTTCTAATCAATAATTGTAAACTATCTATAGTAAATATAGACTGTATTAAAAGAAGTTGAACTGTACATGGTTGGTATATAATGAATACATCGTACATACATACATATATAAAGATAAGTTCATTAAACAATTACAGGAAAAACAAATCAAGCTTAAATTAAGTTAACTCTACAGGAAGTACTACTAATTTATAACCTACAAAACAATGCAAAATATTTTATTGAATATGTCAATCATTATACACCATGGATATTCATTCATTAATGTAATTTAATGAAACTACATATTTTCCAATTTATTCATTTCTAAATGTATTAATATTATAGTATCTAGAGATGTATATGTGAAATTGTTAGAATTACATGAATTCACTTGTGTTACCTTTCGTCGAAGTGCATAGATTATCTATCAAGATTCTCCATCGAATCATGTCTTGGACAATTCTTTCCAGTTATCTTCAATAGTAAATTCTTCTTCTTTATGTAGATCTTGTAAAATTTGGAATCTGTTGTTAAGAGCTATGTTGAATTCGTTGAGTTTATCAGTATATTGAAGGAATGATGTGTTAAACCAATTGTTCAGTGCTTCTTTAGCTTCAGTTTCATCATAACTAATAACCAGGTAGTGATTTGAATCTGTATCAACTCCTTTCTTGGTTCTCATATCTTTCACTGACCTTCTGATTTTCTTAATGATACAAATATGATCTATCTGATTTTCCGTAATGTGATTCGGTGAGACTTATGTAGTTTTATGTATGTACTTGTGGGGGTGGGGGAATTGGTGCGGATTATAACCATTTTTTTAATGCACATAAATTTACAAATCTGTCACCATTCTTGTTCGTTTCTCCCAATCAAACCATATCGTTCCACATACCGATCTTGGTTAGTTAACAACTCAAAACCTGTAAGTCATATACGGGTGTTTATCTTCAATAATTAACTCATCAAATATGCTCATTGATCACTCTACAACCGGGAATATAATACAGGATCTTCAATCTCACACATAAACACCATGACTGGTATAGGTATGAGGAAGATAGCAAACAAAGATAATGAAAGATGATCACGCAATATTGTGGATTTTTCAAAGTTATACTTATATATCATTAGACACTAGCTTAACAAGCCAAACAATACCAAGTGAATTTAAATTCACCCAATTTCACAAGCAAGTGGCTATCTGGACTCAGTAGTTGAGTGGATAACGCGATAGCGTTTCAAGCGAACTGTATTGGGTTCGAGTCCCAGAGTGAACATCAACAAGTCTGAGATACAAGAACATCCAGCTGACGAGTCCCAGATAGGACGAAGTGACGTGCGTCCTGGATTCCACTGCTCGCCACTGTCCATTATTGCTTACACTAGCTTAATAGTTTACAGGTTAAATGTTCATGTACGAGGCTAAAGTTCCTGAATTAATTACAACGTTTTGTGTTCCTACAATTTATTCTATTAATCTCAACAATTTTTTTCTGATATTTTAGGGTACAGCAGTGTATCAATCTGAGGAAGATGAAGAAGAAGAAGCTGAAGATAGTGAACCAATTTTAATTGATCCACTATCACAAAGCGGTTTAAAATCTGTTCGTAGTGATATTGAAGAACGTGCCTTAGATCCTAATCATAATTTTTTTGTTTTAGTTGATGATGGAACAACTGATCAATTAAAGGGTAAAGAAGCTGAATTACGTGCAAGATTTGAAAGATGTATATCATTATGGAATTGTGCAAGTAGTCCACAAGAACAAACAACAACTGCTACAAGTCCTCAAAGTGGACCTATAAGTTCTACAACACATTTACAACAACAACAACAGCAACAACCTCAAAATGGTATTTCTACACCATCTAACATCAATAATAATGTAAACTCAGTAGGATTACAAAGACAAGGTAGTACAATGGGTGGACAAGTTAGTACAACATCTGGTCCACAAACAAGTGCAACATCAATTGGTAAAAATTCTGGTATAACCGGTGGTTCTACTAGTAATTCTGCTTTAAGTAAAGGTGCAAGTGAACCGATAGTTAGTAATCAACCTATTTCAACTGTATCAGTTACACGTGGAATAAAAGATAAACTTACTACTGAATCAAGTCTTAAACCAGCAAAAAGTGGAAAATCAGTTGGTAGTGAAGAAGAAATTTTAGTTCCAATGTGTGGATTAGTTGTAGGTGGTGATCGATTTACATTACGTCAAGTTTATTGTTCAATGATTAGAAATCGTTGTCCAATTGTTGTTACAAAGGTAATTGAACTTTTAAGAAAAAAAACTTTATAAATGGATCATGTTTTTTACATTTGATACAATGAAATTTAATAATATCATGATCCAGGTTATGTTAGGTAATCACTGAGAACATCGAAGCACTGAAAAGATTTAGTAATGCTGTCATTGGTATTACTACTGTGGTGTGTGTACTACTGATGTCGACAGATAGAAGTAGTATATATCATCAATCGAAAGTGGAATGACTGAAAGCAGAAGGTTGAGAAGATTAAAGAGAAAAGAATGAGAATAGAGAGTGAAGGAACAATGAAGTTTGAGATAATTGATTGATATTTTACAAATGAAGTATTTATTGGATGGTTCTCAGATTTTGTTTAGGGATTTTGTAATTTTGTATTTATATACATATGGTTGTAACCGCCGGTGTTCTCACTCACTACACTATTGTGAGTAATACTCTTTATTTACGTACTTGCGCCTGTTACTCCTTATGGAAGAGCACTCTCTATTCAACCCTGTCCTGACCAATCTTTTCCAAACCTTTCCAGTTGTTATTCATCCTTTTCATATCTGCTTCTATTTCCCGATGTAATGTGTTCTTTGGTCTTCCTTTTTTTCGCTTCTCTTCACGACTAATACTACAACTGTTAATGATAATAATAGTAATATTTGTATAAGTATCATCGAAATCATGGTATGAAGATCGTCGTACTTCATGAATTGAATGAATTGTTATCTTCATACCTTTAAATCCTGATTCACTAGTTTAGTGATGTTGTGGTAGCTAAGAAATTATAAGGTCCTGCATTCAATCTCATGTATGGTACACATTTATATAAAGTATCAAATAGTAGCAAATCAACTTTCCAGTATTCTTTAATTTTTAACCGTTAGTTTACCATCTTATGTTAGTCCATAGTAAAAGTCCGTTTTACAACAACATTATCAATAAGTATTATGTGCAAAGATGGATAATGGCTAGTAGTAGAATCCAGTTTGATGTGCGTCTCTTTCTATTTGGAAATCGTCAGCTGGAAGTATTTACATCCCAAAGTTGATGTTCAATCTGGAACTCGAACTCAGTAGCGCGTCTTGGATTCCATCGTTAACCACCTTCCACCTTTCTCATAAAACATCAAAATTATTATCAATCCTGAAATACATAAGTTCATCTTGCATATCTTCATTTTTTTTTCTTTAAATCTATTGTTTCAGGGTACATCTGGTGCAGCGGATGTATTAGCATTTGGATTAGATGCTGCAAATAAAATGGCATCTGAAGAAGTTGTTGATGATAAAGATCAAGTACCATTAGAGGCTAGGTAATTTATATTAAATATTTCTTTTATTGATAGTTATGTATTGTCTAAACATAATTAACAGAAGGCATCCGATAATTTGTATGGGTAAAGAATAAGAATCGGTTGACTAATCAATCTTAGATTCAAAGATATAGATGAATCGATAAGTTCATAGTGGAATATTCATCTACAACAGCTCATTGTGTTAATTAGTTAGTGAACATAAGTTAATTAGAGAGCTCTAACTTTACAAAAAACCTATGACAGGTTAATTCAATATGGATCTTTTCTGATTAAGATCATGAACCGATTGATGTTAGACCACAGTTAGAAACCTAGGAGCACTGAACGGTCATTTCGTCCTATTGTGGGACTCCTCAGCAGTGCTCATCCGAGATAGCGCTCGCGGGGTTTGAACCATGGGCCTTTAGTCTCGCGCGCGAACGCTTAATCTACTGGATTGTATCCGGCATGTTTATAGGTGAATAGTTTTAATCATGTCTGCCTATTATCAACATCAACAAAAACTATGATACTTAATTAATAGTAAAGTTGAATACAGTTACTGTACATCATCATTCATTGATCCACACTAATAAAGTGTAGCTCATCAGCCGAAGTATTACGGCGGTTCAAGAAACTCAACTTACAGTACAATGAGGCACCAAAACAGATATACGCCACACGAATCACGTGATTTGTATGAGGGCTGATATACTACCCGGTTACGCAAACCGAAATAGGTGGATTTCTTAGGGGACCACACTCGGAACCTTTGATCTAAAGGTCTGATCCACAAGACAGTGGTGCAACGTCAGGAAATGCAGTCCCATGGTATCCGGTGACCAACGATAGGTTCATACGCTATATTTTATCTCAGGATACTGAAGCCGATGTGCACCATTGGTTTGGAATCAGGGTTTTTCAGCTCCCCTAGGTGGACTCTCCATATCCACCAACCCGGTTAAAGCGCCGTACATTTTGTTTACGTCTTCTCGACTTCATAAATAACACCCCCACCACAAGAAGGTAGTGAGTAGAACTTCTTTGGCAGTGGTCGTATGTACATGAGAGCATTTCTAGAGAGAAAGGTGACTCCCCACTCTCGGTCGTATCAGGGCATTCGGAGGATAGTGGTTAATCTGAAAACGGGATTTCTTAAGTTCTAGTGAGATGTGTAAAGTGATATGCAGCAGTTTTTGATACGAAACAGTTTCTCAACAATGGGGATTGAATGATGACTAAAAAATATAGTAAATTGATTAAACTAGTGGTTTAGTGCTCGTGTGCGAGACTGCTAGGTTCTGGTTCGAATCCCACAAGGCAGCGTTGTGGATGCGCACTGCTGAGGAATACCACAACAGGACGAAATGATCATCTAGTGCTTCCAGGTTTTTCATGATGATCTAGCTTCAACTGACTCATGATCTCAACTATTAAAATAGATAAATCAATTAATCATAATTCATCTCTTTAAAGAATAAGTTCTAACTTAGAGACCAAAGGTACTGCTTTCCATTACCAATACGATTATAGATATGTTCTTCGGATAATTCCTATATTAGAAGGAAACAACCGTCCATTACTTTCTAATGTTCACTGATTATCTAATCATAAAAGTAGCAACTGTTTCTATCTATTCCATAGAGACTATGATTAAAACCATGTGTTTAATATCGGGTAAGAATGTAACTTGGATGAGATTTTTAGTTTGCTTTATCTACCGGTGAAAAGAATTCCTATTGACTTTTAATGACCTTTTAAACTTTCATTATTTATTAACAAAGATAAAGTGGTATAGTTACAATTGATTGATCATTGGGTGGTGATCAATGTCATGTATGTTAGATTTTTCTTTAGTACAGATCAAATCCTATCGATCAAGTTTTAAATGGCTACTAGTTTAGGTGACTCGACATTGCATGCAGTACGTTGAGATAAGACTATGGTTGGAGTTAGTCGACAGGCAACCCTGGACCCGAGTTTGTTGCTATTAGGCACTTGTCAGCAATTTGTACCTGTAATCTTGATGGAACTGATACTCCCTGACGGATTCAAACCCGTGTCACTCAGTTTCAAAGTCAGAGACGTTACCATATGGGCTAATCGAGCCGTGACTGACCTCCTGTAGGACCGAGATGTATTTGAAATTGATTGGCCACTGGGTAGTGATCAATGTCATGTATGTTATATCCTTCCCAGTGCAAATGGAACTCCAGTTTTACAAAATTACAATTTGAATACATACATAAATGGGTAATGGAGATTAAAATCTGGTTTCAGTAAGTAAGTCCTCTGGAAAGTAGTAGCACCCAGGCAAAACTACCCCATCTAATACCTACATAATAAGTTTATATTTTATGGTGACTTCCAAGTCAAATAGCTTTCCAAAATCAATTCTATTCAAAGATGTTTTACACGATGGATTGTAGGAGCATTGTAAATCTGGAAGTATTGACTAGCCCTCCGTTTCTAGTATGGAGGACATCTGATGGATTCATTCCAAGTAAAGATCGGAGTCAGACAAGGCTGCTTACTCTCTCCCTTTTTCTTTCTTTTGGTGGTCGACTGGATTATGAAGACCTCCATATATTAAGGGAAGCATGGAATACAATGAAGAGCTCGGAATCAATTAGAAGATTTGGACTTCGCAAATGAGCTGGCCCTCCTATCCCATACAGACTAACAAATGTAGATGAAGACAACTAGTGTAGCAACAGCCTCTGCAACAATAGGCCTCAACATTCATAGGGCAAGAAGAAAAAATCCTCAAATACAACCGAGATAACGTCAATGCAATTACAGTTGATGGAGAAACTTTGGAAGTTGTGGAATCTTTCACGTACCTGCGAAACATCATTAATGAACAAGGAGAATCTGATGCAGATATATAGCTGGAAATTAGCAAAGAAAGGGACGCATTCCTACAATTGAAGAACATGTGGAACTCAAAACAATTGTTAATCAATATCAAAGTCACAATCTTCAATACGAATGTCAAGACAGTTCATTCTACTGTACGGTGCTGAAACGTGGAGAACTATCACAAACATCATCAAAAAGGTAAAAGTATTTATGAAAGATTGTCTGCGCAAGATACTCAATATCAGCAACCATCAACAACAGACTACTGTAAGAGAGAACAAATCAGTTTCCAGACGAAGAGGAAATTAGGAAAATACGTTTGAATTGGATAGGAAACACATTACAAAAATCGCCAAACTGCATCACAAGGCAATCGCTAACACGGAATCTTGAAGGGAAACGGAAAAGTTTAAAGTCAAAGAACACACTGCATTGAAAATTGGAGGTATATATAAAAAGAATGAATTACAACTGGAATTAAGTGGAATGGATTTCCCACGACAGAATTGGATGTAGATTGCTGGTGGGCGACCTATGCTCCACCACGAAGGTTGACAAGCGTAAGTAAGTCAGTAATTATATCCATATATTCAAACCTTCAGATCTCACTATCTTCAGTGTTTCTCTAAACAATGAATAATTTAACATTTTATATAAATTTCAACTTTGAAGGCTTGAATCAATCATTGAAGAATTTCTTGGTGATTTACATCCAGATTATACAAATTATACAGATGAAGTGAATATGTTATGCGAAATAATCAATGATTATACAAACTTAGTATCAGTATTTGATATGGAAGAAGATTCTGATTTGGATGGATATGTAATCTCTTCATTGCTTGCCAGTGGTAAATAGAATTATTTTCTTATTTAATTATGTTTCTGCATGTATTTCATTAACCTAATGAAAGAGATGACGATTATGAATGTAGACTTGTAGGGATAGTGAAGTATCATTTAGCTCTAGTTGGGTCATTGAATATCGAATAGAACATCAATCCCTGTCAAAGTTAAAGACATTCAACGCGCATCAGATAATCGTATACCATGGATTGGCTAATGCTATGGTGGTTTCACTATCTTTTTTTACTCATATTTCCGTAATCACGTTCTTTGTACTGTACGATTTTCAAAGTATTCATAGTACCTTGATACGATAAATGGGTAATCCACGTTAGATGCTGACTTCTAGGTATGATCTCGACGTTAGCTGTTGGTCACGCTATTCCCGCCTAACTTGAGTAGATCCCCAATCATTCGATACAGATCATCTACACTGGCGATCTACAGACTTTTATTTGATGATAACATCATCATATTTCACAATAAAGGGTGCTAAAATTGATTCAAGCTTTTAAGATCTGATTCGGTTTGGATAAGTTAAAACATCCTGGGTTCGATTTTTGCGAGACGCGATCATAACCGCACCAGGACGAAACGAACGTCTAATACTTCCACGTTTTCCATGATGATCTAACTTCAATTGACTCATGAATTCAACTAAAGAAATTACATATATACTTATTAAGAACATTTATATATGAAAAAATAAAAGGTCGACCAGAATAGAAATGAAGGATAACAGGAGACAAGAATAATAAAGAAAATAGTAATGTGGAAACAATTTGAAACTTCATTCACTCTGGATAATAAGTTAATATTACCAGGGTACGTTTAAGGTGAGAACAAACTGTTTTTGAATACACTAAAAGGGGGTTTAAATGTTCGTATGGCTAAAAGTTCAATAAACCTTAGTATATGCCTGGTATCGTTTACTTGTATCTTCCTACCATTGTTTAGGACTGCAGGTGATCAGTCTTTTGTTGATATATGTGTATCCTATGAGGATTGCCTTGGTATTGCCTTCAGACACAAACATTATAGCGATAGATAGATAGTGGCTAGTAGTGGAATCCAGTTTGACAAGCGTTCGTCGTGTTTAGGACTCATCAGCTGAATGCACATGCATCTCAAAGTTAATGTTCACTCTGGGACTTCAACCTAGTAATGTCCAATTCAAAAGTCATTGCAAATGGTAGTGGATTCGAATTTAGAGTGAACATGAACTTCGGAATGCAAGTATATCAAACTGACGAATCCTAAACGGGATGAAGTGTCACATGTCAAAATAGATTCGACCGATAGCCACTATATCTATCTTTGCTTAGAATACTTATGAATTAGGAAAAAATATCAAGGCAATCCTCATAGGATACATATATATGTCAATAAGAAACTGACCAACCACAATCCTAAATAACAATGAAAAGATACAGGTAAAACAATACCATGGTTAATCGAATGATCTAATCGTATTATGGCTATAACATAGATCAAATTCTCTATTGTATTTAAATAAACAAATCAAAGATATTCAATTCATCTAATGACATTTATCCACATGAATACCCATTAATAATGGATCATTTCTATTAGATAATGATAATTCTCATGAAATAAGTTTTATCCATAATCTACTATTGATTGTATTAAATACCAATAAATGAATGGGAAACAATATGATTTATGATATAACAAATCAATTTTATTTTAGATTCTTCCCATTGAAATATGGGATTTTTCTTTTTTTTGTAAACGGAGAGGGTAGGGGGTGGTAAAAATAACAAAACACATTGGCATTTTTCTATATTGTTTGGTAGGTTAATACAGGTAGATAATACTTTTGTCATATTCATGTGTAGTACTCGTCAGTTGTTGGGGGTTTTTTGGTGCTTGCGTGTGTATGTCCGTGTCTGTGTATAACTTATGACTATGACGTAATCTAAAATGGATCGTATTATTTATAGAAAATTATGTAATGAACAATTCTTGTTTGTTTGTTTTCATTTATCATTTGAATTTGATTCTTCATATAAAGATTGACTGGGTTAACTATCACATTTCATATATATAGTTTCCTTTTATTATCTTAAACACAATAAAAACAAAGATCAGTACGGAATAATATGAATTCACGTGCTCACTAGTGGCTAGTTTCGTGAGGGAATTCTCGGAGTTCTAGTGAGAAGCGTGATCAGTGTAGCTAATCCATGTCGGGTAGAGACAGGTATCTACGTCAGTAAAATGGAAGATGGTCGCTCAATTTCGTGTATTGATTGATGTTAGACACTATCACCATTGGATGCCAGTAGGCCCAGTGGTCCAGTAGGTTTCTAACCTTCGTCTAACATCAATCGGTTCATGATCTCAATCAAAAATAATATAAGTTCACTTCAATTCTAGTAGTTGAGATCATGAGTTAATTGAAGCTAGCCCGCCATGAAAAACCTGGAAGCAGTGGATGAGTGTTTCGTCTTGGTTTAGGACGCCTCAGCAGAGCACATCCATGATCTCGCCTCGCAAAATTCGAACCCAGGATCTGTCGGTCACATGATCTCAACTATTGAAATTATTATAATATGCACAAAAACACCCTCTGATAATAATCAACATATGCTCACTAGCGACTGGCTAAAATAGGTATTTCCTGAAATTCTAGTGAAAAGCAGTGAACAGTGGAGTTCAACCACGTCTGTTGTGAAATAGTAACTCACTGGAGATAATGGTGGATGTTTCGCTCAATTTCATGGATTAGTTGAAGTTAGACATTAACACTGGTAGATGCCAGTCGTCTCAGTGATCTAGAGGTTAGGCGTTGGTGCGCGAGGCCGATGGATTTTAGGTTTGAATCTTGCGAGACGGGGTTGTAGATACCTCCTTCTGATACTCATCACTTTAATTCATTATGTTCTGATCAGCTGCTTACAAAGCGATCAAATCTAAGTTGTCATAGAAATTGAAATACTTATAAATGCGAAGGTATATAGAAGTGAACATATGTATCATGATGTAGCGAACATTCCAACAGAGTTAACAAGGTCATAGAGAACTATTTATTTCTGATAAACAAATAAGATATTTTAGACGTTTGATCGCTATATATTGTGTCCCAGGGTGAACGTCAACTCTGGTATGCAAGTACATTAATCGGATGAGTCCGAAATAAAGTGAAACGCGTCTCCTGAATTCCATTACTAACCACTATCCATCTTTCCTTATAATTCTTAAAGTATAATAAAGAATCTGTTTAGTATTCATTTATATTTAAAAGAATCCTTGATTATATAAGCCATAAGTGAATAACAAACAAACGTTTCATCACAAATTAAAACTTCCTATTAGTCTTGTTACATCTGTTATAACTTGTGACCTGTATGGCCTGATAATGTATAACATAATGATACCGTCAACTAGAGAACAGTGAATTATCAATCGGACCAATGACTCCTAAAACCCGTACGAGAAGTCTACACAACATATCGATCCTTCTTCCTGCCTAGCTCTGCCTATTAAATCCAGAACACTAATTTCAGTATCCGCGATATGAATCATACATTACAAATATACTTGGATTATGTACAAACCAAACAGATCACATAGTATCATAAAATAGATCTACCCAGAAGTGGCCCTTCTATCGCAAATGCAACAACAAATGAAGGAGAAGACGACCAGTGTAGCAGCAGTGTCAGCAGCAGTAGGTCCCAATATTCACGAAGGGAAAAGCAAGATTCTCCGATACAACATAGCATGAACCAATCCAATCACAATTGGCGAAGATCTGGAAGATGTAAAACCCTGTACATATTTGGGCAACATCGTTGATGAACATGGAGGATCTGATACAAATGTGAAGGCAAGGATCGGCAATGCAAGAGCAGTATATTTACAACTAAAGAATATTTGGGACTCAAAACAACTGTCTGTCAACAAACACCAGGGTCAGTATTTTCAATACAAATGTCAAGACAGTTCTATTGTATGGGGGCAGAAACCTGGAACTCCGCCTGTAGCTCTTATAGGGTTACTGCCGCTCCCAAGCCCGGGTAAAGGAGGAGGGTTGGGCATGGGGTTAGCGTCTCCATCCCGTAGAAAACTAACTCGCTAAAAAAACGCTTACCAGAAAAAACAATCCAAACCATTCAAACTCTGTCCTGGGAGTTAGAAGGTCTTCATTTAGAAGAATTATGACGCTTCATTTTGAAAGCTGAGTTCCTTCGGAAGCCACGAGGCCGATGCCCCTTCTAACAACCAGAGCAAAAATTTTTATAGGTACATAGAAAGACCAGTTAAATAGCAATGGAAATGAGGAGATACAACTTAGCAGTACTGGGAATCAGTGAAACTCACTGGACCCAAGCTGGACAGAAAAGGCTAGCTACGGGAGAGATGCTGCTATACTCCGGTCACGAAGAGGACAATGCTCCAATGTTATGCACCCACCAATGATAGCAACGACGACATTAAAGATCAATTCTACGATCGGCTGCAGTCAATCATAAAGAAATGCCCAAGCAAGGACCTCAACATTATGATGGGAGATCTAAATGCCAAAGTCGGAATAGACAACACTGGATATGAAGATATTATGGGACGATATGGACTGGGAGAAAGAAACGAAAATGGAGAAAGATTTGCAAATCTATGTGCATTCAACAAATTGGTCATAGGAGGCACAATATTTCCACACAAGCGTATACACAAAGCTACATGGATCTCACCGGACCACACTACATAGAACCAAATAGATCATATTTGCATCAACAAAAAATTCCGAAGGACAATGGAAGATGTGAGAACCAGGGAGGCGCTGACGTAGCTTCAGATCACCACCTGGTTGTGGCCAATTTAAAACTGAAGCTAAAAAAGAACTGGACAAGTGGACAAACAGCACTACAAAGGTTCAATACAGCCTTCCTTCGAGATACTGACAAACTCAATGAATTCAAGATAGCTCTCAACAACAGGTTCCAAGCCTTACAAGATCTACTGAAAGAAGAAGAAACTAGTATGGAAGACAACTGGAAAGGCATCAAGGAAGCGTTAACTTCAACGTGTCAAGAGGTTCTGGGTCTAAAGAAATACCATCATAAGGAATGGATCTCTACAGAAACACTGGACAAGATCAAAGAAAGGAAGAACAAGAAGGCAGCAACAAACAACAGCCGAACACGAGCAGAGAAAGTCCAAGCACAAGCTGAATACATAGAAGCAAACAAGCAAGTGAAGAGGATCATTAGAGCCGACAAGAAGAAATACGTGGAAGAACTAGCTAAGACGGCGAAAAAGCTGCAAGAGAAGGAAATATGAAACAGCTTTACGATACAACGAAGGAACTAGCAGGGAAATACAGTAAACCAGATAGACCGGTCAAAGACAAAGAAGGAAAGCCAATCACTGAAATTCAACAACGGCGGAACATATGAGTAGAATTCTTCGAGGAACTCCTGAATAGGCCGGCTCCAATGAATCCACCGGACATCGAAGCGGCACACACAGATCTTCCCATAGACGTCAACCCACCAACGAAGGAAGAAATCAGAATGGCCGTCAGACAAATCAAGAATGGGAAAACAGCGGGTCCGAACAACATACCAGCTGAAGCACTGAAATCAGAAATCGAAGCAACTACAAACACGCTTTACCTTCTGTTCAAAAAGATTTGGGAGGAGGAACAAGTGTCGATGGACTGGAAAGAAGGGCACCTCGTCAAGATTCCAAAGAAAGGAGATCTGAGCAAATGTGAAAACTACAGAGGCATTACACTACTGTCAATACCAGGGAAAATCTTTAACAGAGTGTTACTGAACTGGATGAAAGACACAGAAGACGTCTAACTTCGAGATCAACAAGCTGGATTCCGTAAGGATCGGTCGTGTACAGACTAAATTGCAACACTACAAATCATCGTCGAACAATCAGTTGAGTGGAACTCATCACTATACATCAACTTCATTGATTATGAAAAGGCATTTGACAGTGTGGATAGGAGGACGTTATGGAAACTTCTTCGACACTACGGAGTTCCTGAGAAGATTGTCAACATTATCCGGAACTCATACGACGGACTACAGTGCAAAGTCGTGCATGGAGGACAGCTGACAGATGCATTCCAAGTAAGGACCGGAGTCAGACAAGGCTGTTTACTCTCTCCCTTCCTCTTTCTTCTGGTGGTCGACTGGATTATGAAGACCTCGACATCTGAAGGAAAACACGGATTTCAATGGACAACTCGAAATCAATTAGACGATTTGGACTTCGCAGATGACCTAGCCCTCCTATCACGTACACACAAACAGATACAAATGAAGACAGCCAGTGTAGCAGCAGTCTCTGCATCAGTAGGCCTCAGTATACACAAAGGGAAAACCAAAGTCCTCAAATTCAAAGCGGAAAACAACAATACAATCACTCTTGATGGCGAAACTCTGGAAAATGTAGAGTCCTTCACATACCTAGGAAGCATCATCGATGAACATGGAGGTTCAGATGCAGACGTAAAGTCAAGGATTGGCAAAGCAAGGACAGCATTCCTACAGTTAAAGAACATATGGAACTCAAAACAACTTTCAATCAATATCAAAGTGAGAATCTTCAATACCAACGTCAAGACAGTTCTACTGTATGGAGCTGAAACTTGGAGAACTACAACAACCACCATCAAGAAGGTACAAGTATTTATAAATAGCTGTCTTCGCAAGATACTCAACATCCATTGGCCGGATACCATCAGCAATAGCCTTCTGTGGGAGAGAACAAACCCACTTCCAGCTGAAGAAGAAATTAGGAAAAGACGATGGAAATGGATAGGACATACATTACGCAAATCGTCAAACTGCATCACGAGGCAAGCCCTAACTTGGAATCCTGAAGGGAAGCAAAAAAGAGGAAGGCCAAAGAACACATTGCGTCGGATAATAGAAGCAGATATGAAAACGATGAATTACAACTGGACGGAGCTAGAAAGGATTGCCCAGGACAGAGTTGGATGGAGAATGCTGGTGAGCGGCCTATGTTCCTTCACGAGGAGTAACAGGCGTAAGTAAGTAAGTAAGAAACCTGGAGAACTACGAAAGCCATACGCGAAGTACTTCGGATCCGTTGGTCAGACACTATCAGCAACAACCTACAGTGAGAGAGAACAAAGCAGTGGTGGATGAAATCAGAAAGAAGCACTGGAGGTGGATAGGACACACATTGAGGAAAGCACCCAACTGCGTAACAAGACAAGCTCCCACATGAAATCCTCAATGCCAAAGGAGAAGATGAAGATCAAAGAAGAACACATTACGCCAAGAAATGGAAAAAGATATGAGAAAAATGAACAACTATTGAAAAGAACTATGAGGGAAGGCCCAGGACAGAGCGAGTTGGTTGAAGAATGTTGGTCGGCGGTCTATGCTCCATTAGGAGTAACAGGGATAAGTAAGTATGAAGTGGCTGTGAATGTGGGAGATAGTAATTGATAGACCAAGCATAATTCAAGAATGGTAAATCGTATCATAATAATCTATAGATTAAAATAAAGCTTACAATAAGAAGAATACAGATATACATAATCTAGTTACTCAATAGTTATAGATTAAGACTATATGTATCATATTAGTATAGAAATGGATCCCAACAATTACTAATCACTATTCTCATCAAGATATCACATGATCATTCTTTTTTTTTCTTTTTCATTTCATTATTAATTTCTATAGCTGGTACCACGGTTACATCAGATCAAATTAATTTAGAACAATTAGAAATTACTTTAACATTAAATCGTGCTGATATTGCACGTGAAAAAATATTTTTAGAAAATAAAAAATGGAAAGTAAGTGAATTAATTTCATTAAATCAATCCTTTTTATGATCGTTATTATATTAATGATGATGTAATCAATCAATAAATCAATAAATCAATCGATAAATCAATAAATCAGTCAATCACTATCTAACTTTCTAATTGGTTAATATACTCAATGTTTGTTTTGTTTCTCTAATCGAATGTCTATGGTTTCGGTTGATAAATAGATGATGTTTTGTATATTGGTCATATATATTAGTGATTAAGTGAATTCTATTGGTTTCAGTAAAAATATCTTTAAGAATAATCAATTCTGGATATGTTATGACCGCCCATTGGCGATCAGTGACTTATCGATCGGAACAAAGACGCGTAAAATACGTGCGAGCAGTCTAGAGTACTTATCGGTCCTGTTTCCTGCTTAGTCCAGCCAGTTAAGTCCAGAACACCAGTCTCAGCCTCTGTAATATGAATCCTTATATTTCAAACATACTGGGTTTATATATCAATCAAATAGACCACAACGTACCATAAAATAGGAAACATCATTCGTACAAGAATTAGCCAAATGTGACTGTAGATGAGGGAGGTAGTAATTAATAGACAGGGTATAATTCAAGAATGGTAAATCGTAAAATAATGGTTTATATGTCAAAATAAAGTTTATAATAATAATAATATGAATATGAATAGTTTAGTTATTTAACAATTACGTGATAAAAATATACGTTTAGTATTGGTCAATAAAAAGGATCCCAAAGTTACCATTCCTTATGTTTATTGGGACCTAACAGGATGATATTAAAGGTGGTCGATCTTCAACTTTGTATATAGTTCGTCTTGATAACCATCAATAGATAATGTTCGCAACGGTGTTTTAATTAGAAGGTGATTATGTTTATTATTGCACTGCCAACACATAGATATCCAAATTTACAAGTGTGCTAAGCATGTATGAAATAATAGTTCTGAAAAGCAAGCAAGCAAGCGAGTTCGCAGCTGAGTTCGATAGGTCCTAGATTCGAATTCTTTTAGTGTAGGATCATGGATACTCACTGTTGAAAATTGTCATATTAGAACAAAACAACCATCTAACACTTCCAGGTTTCTCATGGTGATCTAGCTTCAATCAATTCATAAATTCAACTATTACATATATAATCAGAATGGGTTTTGTGAAGATTTTACAAATTTCACTAGTTGAAATCATAAGTCAATTGAAGTTAGATCACCATGGAAAACCTGCAAGCACTGGATGGCCATTTCGTCCTAGTATGAGACTCCTCATGAATTAGTTGAAGTTAGACATTACCACTGTTATATAACGGCCGGTTCAGTGGTCTAGTTGATTAATCGCTTGGCTCATGACTGATAAGTCCTGGGTTCACATCTCGTGGAGGTGGGCGGGATCGTGGATGTGCACTGCTGATTACTTTTCTCTTTTTTTTCTTCTTTTTTTTCTTTTTCTTTTTAGAAAGGTCAATTAAATGATTATATGTATCAAGCATTAATGAGTGATCGACATGATTTTGTTAAATTATTCTTAGAACAAGGTTTTAGTTTAGAAGATTTTTTAACCATCTATATGTTAGAAAAATTATATACTGATCAATTAAAAAATTTGGTAATTTCTTATTTTATTAATTAATTAATTTAAAAAAATTATTTTTTTAAAAAAAAATAATTAAATTAGAATTCAAAAGTAGCAATATTCAATAAAATGTGGGAATATAATCGATCACATCGAGTAAGTTCATATTTATTTTTTTAAATTTATTTTTATAGTTGCCATGGTAACAGTATAATTTATGAATGATTTTTTGATAGATATTTGAAAAGGTTAAATGAGGGGTTAATTATTACGATTAAAATTTATAATTGATTATTACGGTTGAAAATCATTTTGTAATGGTGTATTCAAGTGTATTCACTATTTGTGTTCCCCCTTGGTTCTAATCTTCTGAATGCTTCATGTCCCCTATTGTTTTCTCTTTTTAAATTTATTTCACTTGATTATACTCTTTAAACAACATCTTCAAACCTTAATCTTTCCGATTACTGCTCATACTCTTATTACGTCTACCACTATGGGCTTTGAATCGACAATTGTATCTCTGTTCTAATGTAAATATAGCAACTCGAACTGATGTACGTACGTACGTATAAATCTTTACGCTGTTACTGACTGATTGATTAAAGTGAGGAATTAGATTTACAGTTCTCAACAGGAACTGATATGAGTTGAAATGTTAAAAGAAAAAAGTGGTATTTAGCTAAATAAATGAATAAATTTCGCGCCAAAATCTAAGATTGTCAACACAGATAGATAATGGCTAAAAGTGGAAAACAGTTTGAAGAGCGTTTCATTCTATTTGGAGCTTTTCTGTTATCCACTATCCATCTTTGCTTAGAATGTTTGTGAATTAAGACAATATCAAGGAAATCCTTACAAAATGCCGAGATGCCAATAAGAAACTTAATTGTAGTTCGAAATAACAATGGGAAGATTTAAGTCGACAATACCGAATCAGTGTAAATTTCACTCCATTGCACAAGCAAGTGGCTATCAGCACTCAGTAGCTAAGTGTATAACGCGATGACGTTTGAAGTGAACGGTATTAGGTTCGTGTCCCTAAATGCACACCAACTCTAGTATGCGCATCAAACATTCATCTGAAGAGTTCCAAATAGGACGAAACGCACATCAAACTGGATTTGATTGTTAGCCACTATCGATCTTTGCTTACATTATTTAAGGTAAAAACAAATAAAATGGCTAGTTAAAATAGACCAACGATATCTATAAAGCGATTGTTTCATTGCTAAAAAAAACTTTATTGACATGATGAAATTTTAATTAATTTTCTTTAAGTGACATATAACTTGTTTAGAATCTACGACCTAAGGACCCATATTATTTGGTCTAAAATAAGAAATCAATCACTAGATAGTGGGCGATCAATGTCATGTGTGTCATTTCCTTCTTAGTGTAGATCGAATGCTGTCGAACAAGTTTCAATGTGGCCCACTACTCTAGGTGACTCGACATCGCGTGTATTATGTTGAGATAAGATGGTGGTTGGAGTTAGTCAACAACAAACCGTGGACCCGGGTTTCATGCTATTTGGCACTCTTCAATAAGGTGTACCTGTAATCTTAAGGGAAATAGTGCTCTTATTGGCACATGTGTATACTATGCGGAAAGATTAAGGTTTGAAGATGTTTTTTAAAGAGTATAATCGATTGAAGCGAATTTGGAAAGAGAAAAAGAAAGGGACATGAAGCATTCAGAAGATTATAATGTGGGAGAACATAAGTAATGGATACACCTGCACACACTATTGCAAACGATTTTGAGCTATGTCATTGAAGGTCTCTAACCATCGGTTGATATCATCTCGCAGTCGCCAACCAGGTAGTCTACACCCACCAACATGATTCAGTTCATTTGTCAGTGACTTCATGGATTTGTGCTTTGTTTTGGTTTGGCCGCCCCTAGCTTTCTTTCAACCCACTCCTACACCATAAAACATCGCACGTCGGGGCAGTCGGTGGTTGGGTATAACGTAACACATTTCCCAGCCATCTCAACTGATGAAGTTTAATTACATCATCAATTGACTTGCCATCCTTACTTAGTACTCGTTTCCTAACAACTACATTACTTATATATATATATATATATATATATATATATATATATATATATATATATATATATATATATATATATATATATATATAATTCTGGTTTAATGTAGCTCTTCATTTTGACGTCAATTAAACCACACGATGTTGTCGACGGGTTCACCAAAGATCTGACTCCATTTAGATCATGTAATGATTGTTAGGGAAATATACATTTCGTCAATCCTCGCATGTAATTATCAACTTAAATCGCTTTAATGAATAAAGGAATTAAGTAAGTCAAATACAAGAATTGATTTCGAATACGTATATTTTGTACAATCGTTGATCAGAACAGACAATCAGAGTATCTCAACCAACTCACGAGATTACGTGACCATGTTCCATTGTACTGAGGTATATACCTGTGTCTACCCGACACAGATTATCTCCACTGGTTACGGCTTGTCACTAGAATTCCGAGAATTCAATGGTGTTTTAACATTAATCGACTCATGATCTCAATCAATAACTTAATCATCTTCACAACCCTATACTGATAAGTACTTTATGAATAAAAGTAAGGGAATTAAGACTGACATTTTATCACACTGCTAGTTCTACTCAAATAGACTATTCAAACTTGAATCCCAATCTTCGATACATTCAGAAACGTACACTTTTGAAGTGTATCTGGTACCTTTTAATTCTTGTTAACGGTTTCATTAACATCAATCCTTGATTCTATAGTTATTCATTAGAAATCAATTAAAAGAATCATCATATCCCTACTCAATTATACATTATTGTATTTGATTGTCATGTGAACTGTTACGGTAAGGCAACGTTTCTTTGTTTTTGTTTTATTTTATATTACAAACCTTTCTATTATCAATTTATTCGATAATGAATATATTTTAGAAACTAGGCAGAACTGTATCCAAAGAACACAAGGTAACAGTACAGTAGAGTAATACACGTAGTAATAGTAGTAACAGTAGTGGTAGTAGTAGTAGTAGTAGTAACAGTAGTAGTAGTAATAGTAGTAGTATAAGTAGTAGTGATTGATAGTAGTATATTTACCGATTATCAATTATTGATTTTTCTTTCTGTAATATCTGTTTGTGTAAATATTTATTATTGTAATATTAAAGTCAATGCATGTGCTATGAATGAATGTTTAGAATGTAGAATATTGAATTCTTTATTAAATTGTTGATCTGATTGAGATCTATTAAGACTATTGTAGAGATCTATTCATATAGATTAGATAATATTGTTATCGGACTCGGACCAGTAGTATATATAGTAGTATATATATAGATATATATGTATATATGATGAGAGTACAGTTCATGGACGACCTTGGAGCAACATTAACATGACCTTGGAATGTTCACCTATTTACTAATGTTGAATGAAAGTTAGAGATTAATGAGAGAAATTAGGATGGTTAGGAATTAGATTTAAGATTATCATTATAAATTAATATTAGCTATAATGTTCAAATAGTATTTAGTCAAATGAATAAATGAATGAATTTCGCGCTAAAATTCAAGATCTGCTATCTTCAATCTGATTGGTTTGTCTATAAATAATAGTCTTACTATCTATACAGATATTCATCATATTTATGATCCTTTATCTGATTTGATCAGATGAACTTTGTCTTCTTATTACTCTATCGAAATTTGTAATATATCAGTTGCTTCACTAATTGTGTATGTTATATACATATATACAAGCATGGCTATTTGTACTCATTAATGCATTTATGCACAATAATTAGTGTACACAATTCAATACATTGTACTTTTACTTGTACTTGTATGATTTAGCCAAAAATATATTTCATAATCTTGAATTCAACCATTAAATTACTACAATCTTTACAACCCCCTCCTTCTGATATCAATCAATGTATGTTCACTAATGACTGTCTCCAAGAGGTATTTACTAGAGTTCTAGTGAGTAGACATGATCAGTAAAGTTCATCTGTGTTTGTTATGAGATAGTGTCTCATTGAAGACAATGATGGACGTGTCGCTCAATTTTGTGGTTTGATTCAAGTTAAACAATAACACCGTTGTGTGCCGGCTTAGTGGTCTATAGGTTAAGCGTCTGAATATCGTTTCGAATCTCACGTGGCGGGATCATGGATGCGCACAGCTGAGGAATCCTATACTAGAATGAAAAGGCTATCCAGTACTTTCAGGTTTTCCATAGTGGTTTAGCTATAATCGACTCATGAATTCAACTATTAAATCTTAAAATGTGAAAAAAGATACCTACTTCATTGTACATTATGTTTGTTATTAAATTATTTAATGTTTAACTGGACAGGGAAATGAAAATTACTATGGTTTTTATAGTAAATGATTAGTATCAGAGTGTTTTTAACAGATTTTATTGTGACGTGTGGTGTTCAAAATCCGATATTGGATACATGGTGTACTGCACTCTACCCCCCCCTCTGTCCAACTAACAACACTTGAGTGAGAACACTAACGTGAGTGAGAAAGCATATTACGCTACCGAATATAATGGACAAATACTCGTCTATATAAATATGCCAATCTAATCCTCAGGAAATTCATCAATCCCTTAGCTAATAAAATACATTTGTCCTTCAGCTCATTTCTGATTGTTATCGATTGATCTTCTCATTAGGCTAATTCTAATTGGTGATTCCATGAAACTTAGTTATTTTAAGAAAGAATAAAATTATTATTTTGTTAACTGACCAGGTCTCTGAATAGAGAAAAAATTAAAACAACCTAGAAATATTCACTTGATATTATTTGTCTTGTATCTTCCCATTGAGATTTAAGACTGAAATTGATCAGTCTGTTATTGGCATATGTGGATACTGTGTGAATTTAAATTCACCTCATTGCACAAGTAAGTGACTATCAGGATTCAGTAGCTGAGTGGATAACGAGATGGCGTTTCAAGCGAATGGTACTGGGTTTGATTTTCAGAGTGAACATCAACTCTCTGAGATGCAGGTACATCCAGCTGACGAGTTCCGAAGTGATGCGCATCCTGGATTCCACTGCTAGCCACTATCCATCATTGCTTACAAAAAAGTCTAGAAATATATTTAACTTTTGAATAATTTGTTGAGAGTTTAGTAATTTAATAGTTAAATTCATTGGTCAATTAAAGCTAAACAACCATGAAAAACCTGTAAGCATTGGACGGCTGTTTCATCTTTGTATGGGGATCCTTAGCAGTACTTATCCACGATTCCGCATACGGAATTCGAGCTTAGGACCTTCAATTTTGCGCGCGAACGGTGACTCAACTAATTCCATCTTTTTTTATGATGAGTTCATTCTTTATATTGTTGAATGAATATACACAATTAAGGAATCTTAAATTTAACAATAGTTTAGACCACCAGTAATAATCTGGAAGCATTGGATGGTCATTTCATCTTAGTTTACAACTCGTAAACATTGCGATTCCACGATCTCACATCGAACGGACTCAAACCTAAAACATTCGATCTCGTAAGCAAACTCTTAACCTGTAGACCACAGAGTTTGCATCTAACGACGTTATTGTCTAATTTCAACTAATCTATAATAATGTACGTTCATCTTCCATTAATTTCATTGTATAATTGCTTCATATCCGTCATCGTTGAACTCTTCTGGCTACAGTTTTCTACTAGAACTTCTGAAATCATTTCTCAAAGCTAGTCACTAAACACTAATGAAACTAGAGGTTTAATCATTCTCGAGCACAATCAAAGGTTCTAAGTTTGAATCTTTTCATTGTGGGTTCATGGATTTATATTATTGACGAATCTCATACTAGGACAAAATGATTGTCCAGTATTTTTAGGTCACAAATGGTAGCTAACATTGATCGGTTCATGATCTTAATATATAGATCTACAAACTTAATCACATTTGTATGTTTCAAATATTCTTTTCAATATATGTTGTTGGTGTTGTTGTAGTTGCATGTTAATGTTGTTCAATGATGATGATAATGATGATATAATTTTGCTTTACTGTTGTCATTTAGCATGAAGACAATAAATTGAATGATGTATTCATTTAGTTAGTAGTATCTTTTCAGTAGAATATTTCAGTTGTTAGTTAGTTAGTTAACTAGTTATTATTTCCTTTATTGATTTTTTTCTTTGTTTGTTTTTCTTTTTGTTTTGCTTCTTTCTTCTTTATATTGTTCTATTTTTTATCATTAGACATCGAAAGTGGCATTACGTGATGTTGGCAAAGTGATTAAAGCATTAGTTGGTGATTTTTATCATCCACTTTATTTAAGTAAAGAATTTCAAGCGAAATTAATGCCGGAAAAAAGGCTAGAAGGAGCTGGTAAGATTTATGTTATATATATACATATATAAAGTATTACATTTTTATAATATGGAATCCCCCTCCTCCTCCTCAAAATGTGTATTTCCCACATTGTATATTACCTTAATCAATCAAGATCGATGAGATTATAATTTATGAACGATCACTGAGTGACACGAAAGTGACCTTGAGAGTGTTCAACCTAATAACCAGGATCAACTGAGAGTTATGAACCTGAATACTGAATAAGGATTAGGATTTATAATAGATGATTAAGGTTAACAATTAGATTTCAGGTTTTCATGACGAACTGATATCAGCTATCATCAAGTGAATGATTTTGATGAAATTATGTTCTCTGAAATTTGTGCTGCTGATGATGTCGTTTAGAAGAACAATGAAAGCTTCACAACCAAATCATCTAACTCAGAGAACAAAACGATGAATGAATTCAAAGTCAAAATCTGTGATCTATTATTCTCAATGTAATTGGTTTGTTCGCAAATTATAGTCTCCAACGGATATAAATGATTATTTTTATGTGAAGTATACTAAAGATGAATTAACCATTAAGAAGTTAAAGTTTCTGTTAGTTACTGACTGATATAATAATTCAGGTATAAGATTCATGTTTGAATACTCTATTCTATTAAATGTGACCAATTATTTCTTATGCTATTCATAAAAACATTAACCATATGAATGGAAACTTGGTTAATCTAATCATTTGTTAGGGGTACCTTTAGTTACTTAGTTACGTCTATTAACCCCAATGGAGTATAGGCCGCCGATCAGTATTCTCCAACCCACTCTATACTAGCCTTTCCTTTCTAGTTATATCTAATGGATGTTCATTCTTCTCATGTATGTTTCCATTTCTTTACGTGATGCATTCCTTGCTCTACTTCATATTACTATTACATAAGAGGTAATTTATTTAATGTTTATTTACATAATCTTCATTGTGATGGATTTTGTAATTAGAATATTGATGAATTTATGAATCCTCACTTTATTTAACAAAAGCATTACTGACATGATATTACTTAAATTCAATTTTAGTAGTATCTGATTGAGATCATGAATCGATTGATGTTAGACCACCATTAAAAACCTGGAAGCACTAGACGGCCATTTCGTCCTATTGTGGGACTCCTCCGTGGCAGTGCATATCCACGGTCCCGCTCACGGGATTCCAACCCAGGGCCTTCAGTATCGCGCGCGAACGCTCAACCAACTAGACCACTGAACCAGCATCTAATGTGTTACCTCAACCAATCCATGAGATTGCGCAACCATCTTCCATTGTACTGAAGTAGATGCCTGTGTCTATTCAACACAGATTGTCTCCATTGATTAAGGCTTCTCACTATAACTCCGAGAATTCAATATTGGTCTCACATCAATCACTTCATGATCTCAACTTAATCATCTTCACAACTCCTATACTAATACACTTGGTAATGTTTGGCTTGTATCTTCCCATTGAGGTTTAAAATTGCATTTTTTCAGTCTGTTATTGGTATATGTGCATACTGTGCGTACATCTCGATATTGCCTTAATTCACAAGCCCTTTTTATGTAAGCAACGATGGATAGTGGCTAGCAATAGCCAAACAATACCAAGTGAATTTAAATTCACCCCATTGCACAAGTAAGTGACTATCAGGACTCAGTAGCTGAGTGGATAACGCGATGGCGTTTCAAACGAACGGTATTTGGGTTTGATTTTCAGAGTGAACATCAACTCTCTGAGATGCATGTACATCCAGCTGACGAGTCCCGAAGTGACACGCATCCTGGATTCCACTGCTAGCCACTATCCATCATTCTCTATATACTGATCATTAGTAGTCTCGTTAAACTACTGGATACAGTAATCAAATTTAGTTGGCTTGTATCCTAGTAACACAATGAAATTATTGATTGATTTATCTACTGTTTGTTAATCAATGATTCTTTCTTTTCTTTTTCTCTCTTTTTATGTCTTTTTTATTTGTTTTATTTTGTGTGATTAAAAACATAAACAAACAAAATATACTTAATGATATCTTTGAATTGCTTGCATGTATTTTGCATGCATCTTATTCAACTAATCGGTTATACTATTGTATTGATGTGATTTATACTTGTTTATAAATGTAATCATTGTTATGACATCATTAATTTGAATTAATTAAACAATTAAAACAATAATAACAAACTAACATTGTAATCATTATTATCATAATTGTGATGTAATCATTGGTAATTAATATGGTAATTGAACTCTTATGTAATGATATGCTTGCGATTTTCGATAATATATATGTACATTATGTGTGTATATATGAATTAGACATTTGTCAACGTTTATTAGGTTCTTATAAATTAAGAAATAGTCAAGATATTAGTCATTTATCATCATCATCTTCTTCTTCATCATCTATTAATAATAATAATAATAATCATAATCATAATGGTGCTATATGCCCACGTACACTTGGTTTAAGAGATAGTGTACGATTTATTGATTATGGAGAAGATTATGATCATATGAATTTACATAATGTACATGCTTCATCACCACTGGCACCACTGGCACCACCACCACCAACAACAACAATAGAAGATATAGGATTTCGTAATCCAGCATTTTTAGAATGTGATAAGTATGGTAAGATTGTAATGTTGTTGTTCTTCTTCGAGTAGCTATTGATTTATTTAAACATATAAACATGAATACAAGGAGGCATCAAATAAAGCTGGGATAATGCTTGAGTGCCTAAACTGAAGTAGGGTGGTTTTCTTAAAGGGGTCATACTCGGAACCCTTTAATCCATAAGACTATGAATTAATGTAGCCAATGTTCAACAATTGGCTTATATGCCATTTGTTCTTTCAGAATACTGCAGCAAATGTACATCATTGATTTAAAATTAGGATTTGGCAACTCTCCTAGATGAATCCACTGTATCCAGCAATCTGATAAAAGCACCGGAGTAGCTATTTCTTTATATAGTTTATATATAAATAAATCCTCCTGTAATTTATGGAAGAATATCATTTAATCTAAGTATTATGCTAGATGACAATTATTAGAATATGATAGTAAGTAGTTAGGTTAGAGCTGACCTATAAAGATGGATCTAATAATGTACGTACTAAACACTTAACAAGACGGTATGTCATCCAAACCTGATGAAATAAGAGATCTCCTAGAGGAATTATTGTTCATTGATAGTGTTATGAATATCTTGATTTAGAAAAACGTCTTGGAATAGACATCATGATGAATGATTCTATATGTGACCATGACAAAATTCCATTACTTACAATGTTTAAATTCAATCATGGTTTTCATTATAAACTGACAACATCTATAATGTAAGAATGGCATTTAACCGTATGGACTAAAGTTGATGTCAGTTTATGATGTAAACATTCTTCCTCAATTGGAGTTCATATCCTTAATCATAATCCTAGAATATAATTATTCACATTATCCTGTTTTCTGATTGATTGATTGATTGAATGAGCCAGGACTGTTCTACGATTATTTAACTAGACCGTGAAGCTCACATTTAAAGTTTCACTTTACCAAGTTTACAGTTTACCTGAAATTCTATTGAAATGATCCAGTTTTATAAATGTATCTTATTTAAATTGCTTAGTTAATCTAATGTCATGCCTCGTTTTTTTATAACTTGCTCATTTACTCACGCTTGTTACTCTTAATGGAGAATAGGCTGACGACACACATTCTCCAACCCACTCACCCTGTCCTGGACCTTCCTTTCTACTTCTATCCAATAGATGTTTGTTCTTCTCATGTCTGCTTAATGTATTCTTTAGTCTTTCTATTTTCATTTGATTTTGAGGATCAATTCCATAATGCTTGCTCTGGTTGTCAGAAGGGACATCAGCCTCGTGAGTTCCGAAGGAACTCGGTTTTCACAATGAGGCGTCATAACTCTTCTAAATGAAGATGTTCTAACTACCAGGGCAGAGTTTAATTGGTTTGAATTATTTTTTATGGTTAGCGTTATTTTAGCGAGTTAGTTTTCTACGAGATCGGGTCGCTAACCCCATGCCCAACCATCCTCCTATATCTGTGCTTGAAACTGGCAGTAGCCCTAGAGGGGCTCTAAACGGAGTAATTTCTTCTTATCATTAATAAGATTATTGTTCAAGACAAGTTCTTTGATTTGTTTGAGTGATTAAATCTTTGCTATAGGAAACAACATTTAGTTGTCATTGTGAAGTCAAAGTATTCAGGAGAATCCTGAAGTCATAATTTAAATGAAAGCTCTGACTTACAAGATAAAAAGTACTTTATTAAGATGATGATTCCATGTCGATTATCTAACAATCTGTTAGCAGTTCTATTCAATACTGTGAACATTTTAACTTTGCTTGATTATGTAAAATAAACCTCAGTATTTAATAAAGAGGGATAATCACAAATAATTGTATTCAAGCGCTTTATTTCAGCCTGTTTGAGACTCATCACATTGATATATTTATAATTCATTGTTTACACTTGGAGTTGAGTTCGATATACTTCCCTTAGAACTTCAATAGGTTTTCCACTGAACTACGAATTTCCGAAGACCTCTAACTTGAACTGTGAACAGATTATTTCAATCATTCTTTCAAATACTCTCAGATATTAAGATCATAAATGATATAATATAGTAATATGGTCAAAGTCTTGAAGTATGATGGAATCATTTAGCTGACGTGAATTGTCTATTAGAAATACCATCCAAACTAGAAATGCTGGCTATGTAGTCCAGAGATTAATCGTTCGCGTACGTGATTGAAGGTCCTCTGTCTGAGTTCTGGGTGCGAGATCTCAGATACACACTGCCTAGGAACCCTATACTAGGATAAAATAGCCGTCAAACGCTTACAGATTTTCAATGGTGGTCCAGTTGAGATCGACTCATGAATTCAAATGTTAAGTTTTAGTCAACTTGAAAATAGGATTTTCCTTATTAATTCTCAACATTTAGTTTTCAAATCATTCTAAATGT